TAATTTGAATACTAAGTATAAAAGTACTAGGTACATTTTAAATTTTTATTTAATAATATTTGTGGAAAATTCATTAATCGTGTATATACTTTATGTCAATACAGCAATCAACAATTTGCTAGTTCAGCAATGTATTGGACTGTGATTTAAAAGAGGCTATCAATAATAAGCTTTTTTTTTTTATTACTTTGTTGATTATCACTTATTTATTTATTTATTATTATGTTTTAAAATTATCTGTCATTATAAATACTGTGTCACCTATAATCTTCAAATTCTGATTATATTCTAAAGTTTTATGTACTTAACTTTATAAAGTGATGGGTTTTTTTATATAAAAATCTATTTATGAAATTAAATATTTAAATATTATAAGATTAAAATTAATTTTAATCGAAAATAATTAAAATTTGTATTAAAAAAAACATATTTATAATTATATTATTTTAAACTATTATTGTAATATGTTGTCTTGACATTTTTTTTTTAATAATATTACGTACATTCTTACCCTTAACTTTTAAATATATAGATATTCTAAAAAAGAAAACTTTCTGAGAAACTTTTAATTTTCTTATAATTTTTAATTCGTATTTTCATCAAAATACATGGGGGTAGTAATAATAATTGGATTTAAATGGTTTCATATAGATTTTTGATTTGATGATTTTTATTTCTAAAATTTTATCAAACTTTAAATTTATTACTTTATTCATATCTAAATATTATGGTGTAGAACATAGAACACATAATATAAAAACTAAACATAAATTGAATATCCCACTAATTTCGCTAAATTACAGAATATATTAATATTTATTTTAATTTTGAATATTAATTGCAAAAACGCCAAGAAGATATAGGTTTTGTAGTCTTTGTACTGTGTTAGTAATACTTATTAAAAAATATTTGAAAGAAATTGTATATCATACGATATAGATCATAGTATACAAAAAATTAGTCAAGTAAAGGCCGTGTTATATATAGACATCATAAATACTAAAATGATAAAAATTCGCTGTATAATTTCTTGAAAATAATTCAATTTTCTAAACATCAAATTCAAAACTTTCATCTGTAAAAAAAGATTTAGCCATATGATTTGGCTTTAGTGATTTTATACAAATTTAATTTAGAGTAAGCTTTACATTACATTTTTGATCCAATGTTTTCTACATTTCTTATTTCAATAAGTGAAATATTAACTAATTATATGACAAATTCTGACCTAATATTTTCAAGTTTTTCCAGTTTTTTTTTTGTTACTTATACGAATTCCATAAAGAAAAACTCTTTAAATAATTATCCGTCTACAATTTCCGTTATGAAAACACATATTTTGGCATAGATTATTTATCCCACAAAAAGTCGTAATGAAAAAAAAAATATCATAAATTAATATAATATATTCCTTATTTATATATAATTATTTTAAATAATAATAAAAAATAAAAGAATGAAGATATTAAATTTAAAAAAATTTCGAGGTACTTAATTGGTGAATATTTCAAGTTCAATAAATTTCTCTGTAAATTATTTAAAAATCTATACTAAAATGCATGTAAAATATTTATATTTTTTTTAAATTTACATTCTAATTTAATTTTATTTATGTTAAAAACCATTTAGGGTTTAAAATGTGTAACAATACTATTTAATATTTTATGTTTCATGATATTCTTTTATAATAAAATAATATTTCCAAACTTATATTATTATTCTAGAATAAGTAATTTATTTTTCACAACTCTTAAAATAAAATACTTTCCTCGTTTTACTCAGAATTAGAAAAAAAAAAATGAAAAACGGTCGTGTTTTATGAAATATTTATGTTCAATAAAATCTATAAATTATAATTTATTTTAAATTTAAAAAAATTATTTTTTAAAATAATAAATAATAATAATATTAAGTAATTTAATACATAATACCTTAATTTAATACTTAACTATTTTAAAAATATACCAGTTTAATGACGTTTTTTTTATTTTATATTTTGATAATATTATAGAGATTCAGTATCAATTAATAGATATATACATTTATTTATAAATATTAAAGTGATTCTTAATTAAAAAGTGAAGAACATATTAAGAAAAATATATTAAATAATTTTTATCGAGCAATTTAGGATGGCTAAATTATATATATATATATATATATATATATATATATATCAGTAAATAGAAGCTGTGAAAGGCCTTAATGGTCTATAAAGTAAAAAAAATAATGTATGTATATAAACGAAACTTATTCATAGCAAACAGATAATTGTGTTTTGGCCTGTTTTTATTAATATATTTAATTTTTTCAAATTATATGATAATTTTAATTATAATATTAAGTTTGAATTTTAATTATTTATGATACATAATATTAAAATCGTAAAATTTACTAAATGATTTTAGAATAAGTTGATTATAATATTATATGTGTATAAGTAATGAAAATTTATATTACTATCTTAAGTTTATGTACTGAATAATCTCGTAATTAAATTAGTTAAATGCATTTTTATTTAGTTACTTTAATGATAACAGTTAAAATTATTATTGTAATATGAATAAAATGCTAATATAAGTACAAAGTTCTTGATTTTAGTTCTTTCGGTTAATATTCTTGGATAACAAAATAACTGTGGTCATTTAATCGTAACCAATTCAAAGAATATCGTTAAAATATCCTACTTTGTCAAATTTTAATATTCTACTGCTTATATAATTTTTTCACGACTTTTCGGTAAACTTGTTTTTGGTCAATGACAAAGAAAAACTTATGAAGAATCTTTGAATCAGTTTTCAAGCCTCGAATATTAAAATTGAAAGTTGAATGAATTTTTATCTACAATTATTGATGGGGACTTACCGATTATTATATGAATGTAATATTTAAAAAAAAATGTTGATGCAATTAAAATAGTAAATAAATTAATAATAATAATATACAACAATAATATTTTATCGTCAAATATATGTTAAGAAGTGTAATTATAACAGTTAATTTTATATTAATTTTTAGGTGTCAAGTTTTCAGGCCAGCAGGTCATTTATATTGGCCATTACATTTTTTCCTGAATCTCAGTGGGCTACTGCTCATATACTTCAATTTTTTAATGTTTCCGTGTGAATTGTTTAAATCTATCTTCCGGTTTGAAATTTGAAACGTGCATTATTTTATCATTGTGTTTAAATTTATCGTGAAAAAGATGTACGTCCATTTGGATGATTATGCAAGAATCATTTCTTTTTTTTCTCAGATACTATTTTGTTTAAGTACAACGTATGGGAATTCAACATAGCCAAGAATATTGCTCTGATTATAAATAATTTAGTGGCTTTTTTATTACATAAATTCTATAGAAATTTACATATTATTGCAAATATATTTATTTTTATATTTTTTTTTATACTTATTTAGCACACTTGCTAATGAAATATTTAATTGCATAGATTGTTCTGAACTAAATCAGTTTTTATTATTTTTAATAAATTACCTGTTGTTTCTGTTGGTAGTTTTTTTTAAGTTATTTTAAAATATTACAAAATTAGTGTTTGAGTATTCTTTTGATTATAAATTAATATAACAATTATTTTTTAGTTTATTGATCTCAAAATTTTCTCAATAGTATTTGAAAAGAAACTAATCTTTGTATCATGAATTAAAAATATTAAGTTTTGGATAAATATTCAATTACACAATGTTATAATATATTAAATCGTTGAAAAAATTTTAATATTATCTCTAATGAATCTAGTAAATTTTTTTGTGAATTTTTCTTACATTTTATATAATTTAATTAGGAATTTCACTTATCTAATGTTATTTGTAGTACTCTCACTAATGTTTAAAATAAACCCATATTTATGTCTCTGTATCTGACTAATTATATTTAGGTATATTTAATTTCCCATATTACCTATTAATTGTTTATTTTATTACTTTATCATATTTATTATCTTTACCATATTTATAATTATAACATATATTATAAATAGGTAATATCAAAAAAAATTACAAAGAAAAATTAATTTTTGATATTATTTATATAGTAATTTACTATCAACTCTTGAATTTAAAGTAGTTTTTAACTTAATAATAATTTGTCAAATTCAACGTAAATTAAAATGTTACATGTCTTATAAATTTACCAATTTTAAACTACCTTTTAGAGATCTTTTTTACTATTTTTATTTTTATGACGTTCTTTATTTTATTTTAATCCATTTCTTATGATTGAACATCATATTCGTCATGAATTTGGTGGTGTAAAGATCGCAAAGACAAACGCGCAAAATTCTATGATTGTAGGGTATGTGTAAAAAAAAATAATAGAAAACAAAATTTATTGACATTTTACTTATTATCATAGGAAAATGTAGAGAATAAAAAATTATATTTATTTTATTGGATATGTCTATAATATAACACAACAAAAGACGAATCAATGATATTATTTCGTTGCAAACAGTGTTAAATACGTGCTAATTGTGTTCTATTAGCAGTCCATGAAGCTTTGTCTCTGCTAATATGTTTCCTATTTGTAATATTTTTATTTATACTCATGCAGCTTCCATGGTTTAACTTATTCAGTTTGGCCGTAACGTTCAACATAAACACAAGTATCTGCGTTGTATTATCTCGCTCCGTTATCACAGCAGTACACAATGTCTATTTCAGTTTACAATATAGATTGTTTCTAACTACAGTACGCGTCACGAAAACGTGCGGATGACCGCCGTGCGCCCAGTGGACATTTCTCGGTGGTGGTGGCCAAACTGTTTCGCGCCAAATATAAAATTTAAAACTCGTATTTTTATATTAATAAATTATGTGTATGTATTTAATGATATTAAAAAAAAAATACAATTTATTGTACACAATAAAAACGTGAATTAATTAAAAACAATAGAAATAGTTATAACAACAATAATAATAATAATAATACTATAAATGTATTAAAAATGTACAATATATTTTATAATAAAAAAAAAAATATATCGTCAAAGGTAGTCTTCGTCTTCACTGCTGCTACAATCGCTGTCGTTGGGGTCGATTGTTAAAATGATGGGTTCCAATATGCAATCTCTGAATCCTTCTTTTTCAAAATCTTTATTTTGTAGTTGTTTTGCGTGTCTTACACATTTTTCCCAATTTTCTGTGGTAACTGCATCTATGGCTTCGTGCATAAGTTTTTCGACGTCGGCTATTTTAAATGTTGTATTTTTGGTTGCAACTTCACCTTTTACCTGCGCCCAAATTAGTTCAATCGGGTTGTATTGGCAGTGATAAGGCGGAAGTCTGATCACTTCATGCCCCATTTGATATGCCAACTCGTCCAACTGATATCGTTTTTCACGCGGTTTTGCCATTTTTACTTTTTCTCTTAGTTCCGCCAAGGTTTCTGTAGGAGAAAAATCGATACCTTTTTCGGATAGCCACTTTTGAACATCGGATTTTTTTGTATTTGATTTCGGCACATTCTCCACTAGTACGCTGTGATATGGTGCATTATCCATAACAATGACACATGGCTCGTCCAATAGTTGCAGCATATTTTGAAACCAGTCATGAAATATTTGACTATTCATCTGTGAGTGGTAGTCACCGTCATTTTTACTCCGGAAAATTAATTTTGAACCACATATGAATCCAAATTTAGCTGCTCCAGCATGGCATACAATCAGACGACCGCCTTTACCGGTTGGCACTTTAAATCCTTCGCTATCCATATCGTTTTGCCAAATATGGTTTCTTAAATGGTTCTGGTTCACCCAAGTCTCATCTAAATAAATGACAGGTCTCGTGTCACCACTGGAACGTAAATTACACATTTTTCTCAAAAATGTGTTTCGGAGTGCCACGATATCGTTCCGTTCCATTAAAAATTTACGTCCATTGCAACACTTTTTGTATTTGAAGTTCAAGGAGCGCAAAATCCTCTGTACTGATGACTTTGATCCTTCAAAGTTAATTTTTTTCCTCATGGATTCACAAATTTTTTGAGATGTTGGATATTCACCTATAATAATGTTTTTATATATAATAGTTTCTATTTACATGTAAAAGTGACAAACATTTGAAGATTTTATTTTCAGTTAAAAATGAGTTATAAATTTAATACGAGGTAAGTCGTAGGTAAGATATTATAAATGTTTTCTTATTATAAAAAAAATATTTTAAATTAATCCAATTACCTTTGTCATAAATTTCATGAACAGTTCTTCTGACCACGTCAACGTTGAAATCGTCAATATCTGTCATGACCTTCTTCCGTTTATACGATTTCCTCGGTGACACGAATAGGCTTCTTGGTGTTGGTGTATCATCGTTTTCATATTTTTTTACTTCTGCAACAATATTTTGTATACTTCGTTCACTTATTCCACACGCTTCGGCAGTAATTTTTTGAGTTTTTTTTAAAAAACTCAGCAGATAAATGTTCCATAGTGGATAATTTTTTTAAAAAAACGTATACCCGGTAAATCACTTTTTTACTTTGACTGTGAATATCGTGGTGTGTAAAAGTCGCCATTTCAAAAAACACGTGATCAAAAATTTTAGGTATGCACAGCTAAATTCACAATAGATTATAGTACCGAACGCGCTAAGAGTCAACAAAAGACAGAGACATTTTAAAAGGTGCAGGTTAATTGTTTTTTTTAAAACGTATAGTACCCCGTCGCGCCAGTGGCGCGCACCTGTGACGGATCAAATATTGAGGCCCACTGGTTTACAGAAAAACCGACACATGGCGCGCTGCGGTCATCCGCACGTTTTCGTGATGCGTACTGTACCTGAAAGTATTGATTATAGAATAGTTCAGCGGTTCTCAAATTTTTTTTCCGCGGTGCCTTTTTTTGGATTCAATTTAGCCACGGTGCTCTGCTGTGAATAACACGAAGGACAGAACAAAAAAAAAATACTCATTGATAACTAATTTTATTAATTTTATTAAAATTTAACTTAATTATAAATTAACGAATTTTTAAACTTAACAATTAAATAAATAAAAATTATTGTTATCATTATTATAATTATTACATAAAAATATTATAAGGTTAAAATGAGAATGTCCGATATACAATAGAAAATATTTCATTATTTGCTATAAAATTTTTACGAAAACAATAAGGGGAAAAAAATCTAAATATTTTAAGCTATTTGTTATGAACCGTAGACCACGGTGCCCTTAGAAAGTGCTCGCGGTACCCTAGGGCACCGCGGTGCACAGTTTAGGAACCGTTGGAATAGTCTATTCTATAATCAATACTGAAATCTAATAAAAAAAAACTTATTCAGTAATATTGTATTAATCTAAAAAAAAAAAAAACGTATTTGGATATTGTTGGGTACATATCAATATTTGATGTGAATAGTCTCAATTTTTTAGAATATTCGAGATGGACAGGTACGATGCGTCTTTTTATCTATCATAGGTATTGTCTCGAATATTCTATAGTCTATTCAGAATAAGAAATGTAGTCGGCGGCCGACTACTGCGCATGGGCGTGGCCTCACTACTCATGCCTGCTTTCGACACCGTTTCCAGCGAGAGCGCCGCATTATTCTACTGTTGACCAGTGATGCGAACAAATTACTTAAAGTACATTGTTTATGCAATAAAATAATTAATATTGTTAATGTGTTTACGTCATGCGTCGACAATGGTCGTATGTCGACGGCCACCGTCGCGATGCGTTGGTAGAGTAGACGGCACAGTGGGGGAAATATATGACTACCGCCGTCGAAAACTGGTCGCCGCCGACTATGTTTCTTATTCTGAACAGACTATAGAACTGACCCATCGTTCTACCAGCTTTCTAACCCGGTGGTGACTGGCTGTAAATTCACGCCGTCATCAACAGGTAGACACGGTTTATTTTAATCCGTTGTGCTATTATATAATTAATGTCGTATTCGGTTTTTTTTTTTTTTTTTTTTTTGTTATATATGTTAGTTGTTGTCGCGTAAGTAACATTTGTTAGTCATTTTTATATACGTTGGTTGTTGCCGCGTTTTGATTATAATAAAGGTTTTAGAATTTAATACAGTCCACTTTTTGTTCTTGATATTTTATATCCGGCACCAGTTGAAGCGTGATCACCCCGACCAATTTTGGTTTAGGGACCTCGCTCAAACAGCTCGAAGTAATTATTGAATAAGTGAGGTTCTAGTGACTTTATTTTAAGGTAATGAATTAAAACATATTTTATACCATGTTTGCGCCTATATCAGTGTGCGAATGTTTAAAGAATTGGGTACAGGCCTGCAGCTAGATAAATTCTTCGGGGAGTGGTGCGAATCAAGTTGTAGAGAAAGCAATAGAAAGAAGCCAATATTATAACTAATTTTATTTTATTTTTACAAATTAATTACAATATTTTAAATTAACGACAGAATTAACGATCACCACCATAACCAACTCCTATTTGAATTACCATTTATTGATATACTGTTTTTTCCAATACAGCAGAATCTCGATTATCCGTGCTCACTCTTATAAAATTATTGTCGTTCGACATTTTTCGTCTGAAAAGTTATATTAGGTCAGACAAACGTATTTTTATATTACGTACATAATACACATTTTCGAAAAACGTATATGACCTTTTTAACAGGGCTTCAAAACGTTATATATAACGTTATAACGGAAAAAAAATGAAAATAAATTAACGAAATCAATAAATAAAAAAACGAAAGATGTCGAATAACATTAAAAATAATATATCATTAATCATAATTAATGATTAAAATTAAACAAACGTATTTGTAACGTAAAAAATTGCAAATAACGTTATGTGGAAAAACGTTTGTGTTTTTTTTACTTTGAACCAAACATAATTTCTTTTTTTAAATCTTATAGTTATGAACAGGACTCGGGACTTATAGTACTGAAAACCATTAAAATAAGCGCTAAAAAACATCATTATAAGCACTAAAATAAGCATTTAAAAAATTTAAAATTAAGCAAAAATATTTATTAAAAAAAAAAAAACTAAAATTCTAACTAAAAAATCAAACAAAATAAAAATAAATCTTCACTTTCAAGACTCTAAGGATTTTATGGATTTTCTAAGGGATTTTTCTGAAAAATAAAATGTAAACTGTTCTTTCTGTTCTTGATCATTCTGACGTTTGACACTCAGTTCTATTTCAGCGTTGGAATATCTTTATTAATCTTACAACGATGCCTTGGACGATGACGAACTACGTGACAACGTAGATAAGAATTCATTTTAATTTTAAATCTATTTAAACGACAGGAGAAAACTATAAAAACGTAAAAAAAACTGGTCAAATAAGCAAAAATAATCAGAAAAACTGAAAAGAAGCATTTTTTTAAAAATTGCCGAAAAAAGCAAAAAAAAAAAAAACACTTTCAAATTTCATAATTGTACGTGTTATAACTTGACATATATTTCTATAGCACTCTCTTACATTCTAAGTCAATCATTAAAAATAAGCAAATGCTTTAACTCCCGAGAACTCCTGAGCCCTGGTTATGAACAATTCAAAGTTGGCTAACCTGTGTTGACAATAATTTATATTTTCCGAATTATTTTTAAGTATTAAATTTATTACATGATAAGAAAATAGATACCTATTCAACTAATTGTCCATTCATGTTCGAAAAATTCGAAAAAAATTGTGAAAAATGCGGGCGTGTTATTTGGAGTATTATTTAATGTAAGTAATTTCAAGTTGCTAGTCAGTTGTAGATATTTTGTCGTGAATTGAGGTAATCCTTTAATTCCATAACTAATAATTATATATAAATATATATATGTGTATGTATAAATGTAATTCCATATTTATTTTTAAATTATTAACTGAACTAAGCAATGCGTTGCTATTGTTAGGTTTGTGTGATTATGAGAGCAGTGTATTACCAGGTAGGCAATCTACCTGCGTTAGATTGTGGACCCCGCGTGCACATTTTATTCATGGTTTTTTTTTGTTATATAATTTTACTATAGCAACCATTTATAAACATATTTTATTTTTTATTACCTATAAGTAAAAAAAAAACATTATTAAAACATTTAAAACCAATAGCAACCATTTATAAACAAAAATAATAATAATCTCAATTCCCCTGTCTGAGAACATTCCCGCATTGGATCTCTTATTTACCTTTTTTCGCGATAAAATGTAGCTAACCTTTCTCTAGGTTTAATCTGCCTATATACCGAATTTCATCGCATTCGGATGAACGGTTTAGGAATGCATAATGGACATACAAACTTTTTTGTCTTTTATATATAATATAGATAACGTTTAACAAAAAATGAAAAATTAAAATAACGTTTATAAATGTACAGAAAAAATCAAATAACGTTTGAACGTTAAAATTGTATAACGTTTTAATACCCAAAAATGGAAAAACGATATTTTTTTTTAGAATTTAAGCTCTGCTTTTTAACAATAAAAATATGGCCATATAAGTTATTTCATATTGATTGAGACTACATAATAGAGTTTCTTCAACAATCATATTTATCTAATTACGCTATAAGTTGTAACGAATACATATCGATAATTTTCAATTCTATCGAATTTGTTCCATTCTATTTAGTGTGTTTTTAGCATTTGCTATAGTAATTGAGAAAATAATATTGTACAAAATCCATACAAAATTATAAAATTTTTTATAATTCGTTTAGTAAAAAGTCTCGAATAATTGGGTTTTTAATTTATCCGTGTTACCCTTCACCTCTATTACTCCTGATAATTGAGGTTCTACTATATATCAATCAATTCGAAAATCGCCGTCTTCCCATAAAAATGATAGGGAACTATCGGGTCTAAAGAAGGCAATACTCCTTTTTGGTTAAATTATCAATATAGAGGTCTAAACTAGCCCTTTTTGTTGATACCATTTACGTATTTTTGTGATATTATTGGCCTTTTTATAATGTTAACTTATTGAGTTTACATTGTAGCCTTTTAATTGGTGGAAATACGATGATTGGGCTGATATGCTTCGTCATACATATAAACATCATTTATTTTTTACTCGAAAGTATTGAAAAGAAGATTAAGTAAACGCTAGAAATAACTATCAGAAATTTAATAATCACAATGTCTTACAAGTCCAATATACCTTAATTTTATATGTATATTTTTCATAATGATAGTCAATATTATATTATTAAATATAGCATCAAATAGTTAAAATATAAATACAATTTATTTTAAACCAAATTTATAGAATACCTTTATAATTTTTCTCAAATTACCTATTTGTTAAATAAAGACAATTTGTGTATAGGCTTAATCTTAAATAGTTATTTGTAAATAACTTAGATTTTAGCTGAAGATATTGATAGTTGATAATTGTATTGTTTTTATAATTTTATATAAAATATTTTTATAGGCACTTTCTATTTTAGATTTACTTATGTGGTTCTATTATACTATGTTTATCTAATTATTCCCAATTTTCCATCACAGCTTTGCTATGGTAAAGATATTTCATAGATCCTTTATAAAATATTCTTAAATACACTACTGTCATAATCCAAATACATTTATTCGGAAGCAATAAAATCAATACTAATTTGTAAATTATATCATAGTAAATAAAATTTTTATAATTTGAAATATAGTATAAAAAAAATAATATCATTATAAACATGTATATTTAGTCAATGTTAATTTTTTATTTTTAATCGTATAGAATTTACTTGGAATTGATCAATTTATTAAGCCTTTGGTTCATAGAATATTTAGTATTTATTTTTAAATGTATACTATAGTAATAAATTTTTTTTTTTATACTCTAGTATATAAATAAAAGATAAAAATATTTTTTTAGGGTAGATTCCACAATTTAAAATATTGATACCTCCAATTTAGTACTTATTTAATATGCTTACTTTATATGCTTTACGTGATACAAGGATAGTAAAAAATGTAGCATTTAATGTTCTCAAAATTAAATTTATTCTTCTATTTATTTTATAAAAGTAGAAAACCTCGCTCATAGAGATAGGTTAGCGAAAAGCCCATCAAGTTTCTTAATGCAATTTCTGGATAGGCTTATTAATATTATTATGACCAGAAATATTATTTTATAATAAAAATATGTAATAATATTATACTAACGAAAAATATAGACATTAGTCATAATGGTCTACGGCTCAGTTCCACGATGTCTGCGACCCACGGATTGAGACCAGCGTATAAATTATATCTTAAAATATATTTGTGATCAAAATTCTTCAAATTACTTATTTAGAGTTTATTATCTGGCTTATGATTGATATTTTTATATTTTCATAACCTACTAAAAGATTAGATTAATTTTAAAATTATAGACACCTGTATTGAAACATTATTTTTATTATATTTTAAGAGTTATCTTCTACATAATTTTATATTTATATATTTAATTTATATGTAAGAATTTATGTTTATTTATTAATGTTTTACCTATGGATAAATTTACAAGCTTTAAATTTAAAACTATCATTAATTGGTAAATTTTTATATCGACAATACAGATTTATTCCTTATTGTATTTTATAGTATCTTAACTTAATGAAATTATTGACTGTAATTTTAAATCTGTAAATTAACATTAAAAATAATCGAAGGAGGCATTTAGGTAGGATGGTTTTGACAATTGTCAGCAAATCCAAGAAATCTAAACATTTTTATGGACATAAAAAATACAAGACTTGCATTTATTATATTAAATATTTATACTAAAAAAATTTAACTACGTAATTTTAATTGTTTCAGATTTTCTACAACAATATGAAAATGGCGGTGCTTTTTTAATAATAGTGCGTATTTTAGTGAAAACATTAGCGCTTACGAAATACTAAAGTGTTGTCACAAAACTGAATGTAGTAGATTAATATAGACTTAACAGTGACCGTTTAATTTTTATTCAATTATTTAATTTTAATTAATATGTTAACTATAATGCGGTTGAAATTTGTAATGATGCTGTCGATGACGATTCAATGGATTTCTTATACAGGTTTGTTAACGTTGTATTACATTTTTTACGTAGTTACTTAAGTACCTTTCATATATTTTTATACATTCTAATAATTTAATGAAGGAAATAAGAATGTTATACAAATTAATAATTGGTTTGTTTAAGAATATTAAACGTTTTCGGGGTGTATACATCCCGGGTAAATTATCATAGATTAAAAATGGAATGGAAAAAAAATTATAGTATACTACACATTGATTTATGTAAATTAATTCGTATACAGTAAATCGGTTGTGGAGTAAAAATAATGTATTGCATAAAACATCAAAAGGTTTTCTTCTAAGCCAATCGTTTTGAATATTTCTGTTAAGTCGTTTGAGATGTCGTAAAAAGAAAAAAGAAAACCGTATTTATCCACCAAGTTTGTATTCAAAAGTTTTACGCGGTCAACGGTTGTTTTTTTTATCTCATTGGACTAGCACAATAAAAGATGTCTGGTTAGCAGTATACAAGAGGAAAACGTATTTTCTTGTTCGGCAGTTTTACTAATAGCGTTTGGAAACAAAGAAATTTCCCTAAAGGGCTTATACGTCATGGTCGGTGAAATCCGTATTCATCTTATACATTTTTTTCGTCACCCAATCTGTTTATAAATGCAAAATGAGTCCGAAATCGGTAACGTCGCTCAATGAAAAAAGAAAGAAAAAGGAGGTTAGAGGAGTAACGATTGAAAAGCAACTATATCCTATGGGACAAGGAAGAGCAAAATTGCATTTCTGTCCGGTCAATAAAACTTTACAACTTATTACTTCCACAAAATCTATCCCATGTGAAATCGAAGGGAACAATCGACAATGAACTAAAACACGTAGGCGGATAAAAAAATCGAGGATAATACCAGATCAGATTTCGGGGGATGATTTAAGACATTATTTCCAAGTGGTTAAGGTAGGTAGTAAAGTTTTCCACTTTCCTGGATCTAACTCTTAAAATAGGTTACAAGATGGATGAACTATTTTCTTTCTTAAAATAGAGCTTTTATTTTCTTTAAATAAACTTAAATTGTTTTTAAGCAGTTTTAATATTCAAAGATAATTGGTTTTATAGACTTCAAAATATAGAAATGACATTAATTGTTTATGTTGTTTTGAATATTCAAAATTGCTAGATTTGTTTTTTAACTTAATTTAAAAAATGGTCCAACTTAATTTAAAATAATTTATAACATTTATTTATTTTGAAATAAATATTTTCATTAAATGAAGATTACATATTTAACTATAGTTTGCAAATAAATTGAATTCATTTTTATATAGTTTGCATCAAATATTTAATAAAACTGTTCTTGCGGAAATTGTTTATAGTTAAATGTATAACTGTGGCTTGAAATTCGAAACTTTTACTCTATGTCAAAGAAATTTTTTTTCATATTCGACAACATTTTTAAGAAAACTAAGCACTTTTGGTAAGGCTAAGTTAGGTTAGATGAGGTTTGATTTGGTAAGTTTTACGATATTTACGGTATTTACTGATTTTACATAAATTTTCAACTTTAAATTAATAATAAAAAAATTGGTTCATCCAATCATAATAAAGCTTTGGAGATAGATAGAATAACATGTTTCGAATATTTAGTTTAAAAAAATGTCACCTTCGCCAATCAAGAAAATTTTAAACAGGTTGATAAAAAAAAAAACCAACCGATACTTACACTGAAAATCTAATGTACTCATATATAAACGGTGTATCTTTTGATTTTTTTTTTTTTAAATAACAGTATTAACAATCTGTATAAAAAAAAAAGTACAATAAGCAAACGGGTTTACAAAGAAATGATAATATACTTGAAGACAATGAGTAGAGAAGCTAGATAGTAATGGATCCTTAATATATTTCAGCTTGAAATTTAACATGGATCGTTTTTAATCTAAGATATGATGGCACTAACGTCTTTTAAGTCGCCGGGTGAGGTTGTCAGGGATTGTGGCAATGTATTGATTAGTGATTATTGGATAAATACGATGAAAGTAATTTTGAGTGGAATTTTTTTATAGTGTATTTTAATTGTCAATTAACTTGTCAAATGATTAAATGTAGTGATGGGTCGAATCCTGATTTTTTTTAATCGAATCAATACTTTTTATCATGTATATTGTACCTACCTACAAATTAAATCAACCATAATTATTAATTACTATTGCATTTTAAGTTTTCCTATTACCTATTCTATATTTTAATTTTTAAGCCTAAGTAATTGTTTTATTTATAATACATTTAAATTTTAGATAATTTCTTATTAGTATTATTATTTTTCAAAACCAGTATTATGCTTTCTCGTATTGTCTTGTAGCCTATAAAATATTAATTGAGCATTGAGAATTGAGTGTAATATGACAATACAATCGGTACATTTTAATAATATATAAAAAAAATAGTAATAATAACAATAATTCACAAATATAGAATGATTAGTAGAATATAATATAAGACGTAAGTTGTAAACATGTTTTTATTAACAGCACAGCCGTCGTATCGGAATATTATCATGGATTTATCCAAAATAGATTTTAACCTGTATAATAAATATGATAAAAACAAAAATAGCTAATTTATGAATGTAGATATACTGCCTCTATTGGCGATAAACAACTAATTAATGTTTTACTCGGCGGAGGGTGGATGTGTAACATGCGGCTGGAAAAATAACATTATTATTATAATAATAGTATTATTATTATAAATAATGCATAACATGCCCTTTACAGATCATCACTTTATATCGCCAATAGTTTAATTATTTCTAAATAATCATTATCAATTTTTATTTTTCAAAAATAACTTTTGAAGAATTGTAAAAATATTTGGTTTTCGAACTATCTTGGCCAGTAAAGGTACAGTTTCTAAGGTACGACATGTCGCGACGACAAGTCGTCGCGCCTGACGGCCGCAACCAGTCGTCGCGACGCTTTTCGGATAGAGTGGTTTCCAAGACGCGACAAATCGCAGCGACACAGCGTTCGTTTTTAAACTTGTTTAAGTGCGCACGTATTTTTCATATAATATAATATAATATCACAACGAATAGATATAATTTAAATATTAATAATATTATTCTTACACTATTATAATTATTAGAAGAAGAAGAAGAAGAACAACAAATTTTAGTCATCTTATCGCCAAATATTAAAAAACCTATAAATTAATTATTTATACATCGGGATAGAGAATAATTGATTATATCAAATGTCATATTTTTGAATAACATTTTTATAATTTGGATCTCTAATATTGTAAAGAAGTGTATTATTCTGGATTTCATGAATTAGAATTTCGTCTATCGACGCCGAGAATATCAGTTTTGACGTCATTATATCTACAAACGTTTCAATAGTCGTTGTGATGTGTCGCAAGGTACTTTCGCAGCAGTAATGTCGTCGGTCGCGACGACTTAAAGTTAGGTCGCTGCGACTTGTCGTGTCTTGCAAATCATTGAATAACATTTTCATATAAACAAATGTTGACGACTTGTCGCAGCGACAGCTCGTCGCGACATGTCGTACCTTAGAAACCGTACCTTAAGTTTGGTTCGACAAATATTTTCAAATTCGATTTTCGAACAGTAAAAGATGCTTGATAGTTCGGTTTGATTTTTTTTCATGCCGAGTTCGAATTTCGAACCAAACCGAATAACAAGGGTTCGGTTCGGTTCGGTTCGAGATTCGAATAGTTGGACCCATCACTAATTCAATGTTTAGGTTTTTCTGGAGTATAATATTTATACATACCAAATAATGGACGTGATTGCACGAAGGGAAATCAATAGGAAAACTTCAATTGTTTTTAGTTGTAATGGTTTGGCACAGCACCATATCTGGGAATATTTTTATACTGAAGTTTTTTTCAGAATACTAAAGAAATGAATTATGATTTTTTTAAGACTCAATGCAAAAATTTATTACCATCCGATTATTACTATCGGGATAGGACCAAACCGAATGGATAATGGATGAGCTTCCACCACCATTATTTTGCCAGCTTTCTATACTCGTATTTATATTTAACTAAAAAAATATAACTAGCAATTGAAAAAAAAAATTATTAAATGTTTTATTATTACACAAAAAAATCATAATAATTTTTTAATTGTTAATGGAATTAGACTAAATCACAGTTATTTTTATTATAGATATATATTTAAGATATGTCTTTTGGGTGACACAATTCATTTAAGTATATTACTTAAGAGTGTTTGTTTAAATTTATTTGAAATTTTTCAGTTAATTTGGTTTAAAAAGAAGACTTGGAGTATAATATTTGATAGGTGGCACGAATAAATTTAAAATATTTTGTGTCGTTTGAGTTTTTTAGAAAACCTAATACATGTTGGATAATCAATAATAAATATATGAAATTCATCAAATAATTTGATTCTATACAGTTTTTTAATATGTTTCTGAATCAAATGTTCTTTAAACAGTAAATTGTTTATTGTAAATATAAATAATGTGAAAAATGTAACAGTATCAATTTAATTTAATTTTCCATGCTAAATTTATGATTTAAGTATAAATTACTGATTTCCATAAATTCATTAGAATTATTAATAAATAAAGTATAAGATAGTTTTTTACATTATTAGTTTTGTTATAATGACTAAATGCAAAGAATTTTAAAATTATAAGATTCATTAATTATGCACTTATAAATAGAAAAATGGATTTGTAAAAATAGGTCTTATTCAAAAAAAAAAAAAAATTGTACCTAAATGATCAAAATTTTGTTTTCAAATTTAAATCATATAAACCCATAAAAATATATCTAAACATTTAAATATTTGTTTTATAATTCTATAAAAAAAATATTATTAGAAATCGAATTTTTCTGCGTGTTTTTCAGTATTATTTTTAGCTGCCATTATTTTTCATCTGTGATAAAACGAGTTGCTTTACTCGATTTCATTGGAAAACTTTCTGTGTAACCTCAAAGCTATTGTGAAAACATAACTATTGTGAAAATGTGTATTAAGAAAAGAGTAGGCG